ATACCTGTATTACTGTTGTAATTTGTTGTTCAAATATTGTAATACCTGTATTACTGTTGTAATTTGTTGTTCAAATATTGTAATACCTGTATTACTGTTGTAATTTGTTATACAGAAATGGTAATACCTGTATTACTGTTGTAATCTCTTACATACAAATGGTAATACCTGTATTACTGTTGTAATCTCTTACAGAGAAATGGTAACACTTGTATTACTGTTGTAATCTCTTACAGAGAAATGGTAACACTTGTATTACTGTTGTAATCTCTTACAGAGAAATGGTAACACTTGTATTACTGTTGTAATTTGTTGTTCAAATATTGTAATACCTGTATTACTGTTGTAATTTGTTATACACAAATTGTAATACCTGTATTACTGTTGTAATTTGTTATACACAAATTGTAATACCTGTATTACTGTTGTAATTTGTTGTTCAAATATTGTAATACCTGTATTACTGTTGTCATTTGTTATACACAAATGGTAACACCTGTATTACTGTTGTAATTAGTAATATACAAATGGTAATGCCTATCTGATCATTGTAATTTCTTATACAAAAGTAGTAATACCTGTATAACACTGCCATCACTGTCTCTTGCCGTTAAGTCGTAGTTAATAACTATACCTTCTAGGTGTTTAATGAGGCACCGCTGTAAGTATCCACTCCTACTAGTTTTGACTGCTGTGTCGACCAAACCCTGAAAACAGCAGAGTGATGGAAAATATAAGAAATCAGAGAATAAACTTCTGAACACAAGTGAAAACATTTATATAAAATTAGTGAAATTCACTCACTTCTCGTCCTGCCATACAGTGGAAAAAATATTCCTGAGGCCTGATTCCCGTCAAAAACCTTCCATCTACAAAACCTCCAGCTCGCGGAGAAGTGTCATACGGCATAAAAGACGGGAGTGATCGTCCACTCAACATGAGAGGAACCCTCCTCCCCTCCAACTCGATCTGCCCAAGGAGGCAGGAAATCTGCATACAGTTGACCTGTCGTATAACAATCAAAAACTAGAATTTTTATTTTAAAATCACAAATTAACACTACTACACTTCCATTCAATGGCTATTTTGTTCTCAACTATTTCAACATTCCTCCTAGGTACCTATGAGTATTATATTATGCTCATAAAAAAGTTCAGGAGATTCACAAGTATTAATGCGTTGTTTCATTTATTACGACCATGGTTTCTCCAGTAAAGACATCATGGTCGTTATATATAAAATATTTGTGAAATGTACAGTTGTCTTTGTTTTCCTCCTTTCTGTTACTATGAACTTCCATTAAATATCAACAGGGTCAAGTATTAGTTATATTCATGTTTTTCATTTACTAACGTCCACCAAAATCAACCCAAAATTTTCAACTTTTAAAATTTTGTATTTCTATAAATAACTTCTTCGGTGAACACATTTCAAATATTATATGCAAGGAAGAATTTAAATTTGTTAATTATTTTTTATCCATTAATTCAGTAGTTAAATTATGCCCTCAGAGCAGACCTCTAGCTGCTCCAAATGCTCACAGAAATTTTGTAAGCCATACGATGTATACGGCACACTCACATTCTACTGGTTCACTGTACCCTATACAGCAAATCAACAATCAATGGGTCAACAGTCAATCTAATTCATCAGATCTTATGATGATCATCAAAGACAGAATTAATTTATTTTAAAAGCTATCACATACAACAGATCTTATGATGATCATCAAAGACAGAATTAATTTATTTTAAAAGCTATCACATACAACAGATCTTATGATGATCATCAAAGACAGAATTAATTTATTTTAAAAGCTATCACATACAACAGAACTTAATATAGGCATTAACACCACAGTTAATTTAATTTAAAAGCTATCACATACAACAGATCTTAATATAGGCATTAACACCACAGTTAATTTAATTTAAAAGCTATCACATATGTCAGATCTTAATATAGGCATTAACACCACAGTTAATTTATTTTAAAAGCTATCACCTATATCAGATCTTACAATAGGCATTAACATCACAGTTAATTTATTTTAAAAGGCATTAAACACATTAAATCTCACGGTAAGAATTGAATCTGGAATTACTTTATTTTAAAAACATTGTATTTCATGAGAAACTGTTTTATAAAATTATAAACTAATTAATTTGTTAATAAGATTATTTTAAAATAGACAATTTTTAAAAATCAAACTTAAAAAGTGTAAAAACATCACAGTTCAGTGCATCATATCTGACAAATGGCAGGGCACAAGAAGGTGAAATTATACAGAGGTGTTCTCACGTGGATGAAAGTGCCATAGTTGCCACCAGGGGCATCACTGTGGTTTCTTTCACAAATTTTCAATGTAAATGGACCTTTCAATCATAGTGCAACCATCATGAAAGTGACAAGTGTTAACTAATGAAATATTATTACACCATAACACATGATGCCAAGACAGAAATATTATTACACCATAACACACGATACAAGACAGACATCCTAGTTGATCC